CTATAATATGGAAATATTTCGTTGATTTAAAATATGTTAAAAGTTTGTTTAATAGTTATGTTAATGTAATCTTAAATTCTAAAATCTTTACTTTACTTCTTAATTTAGATAAATTTGTATAGAATGTTTTTTAAAGTAGTGTACAAACATAAATGTTTATTCATATTTTATCGATTTTCATAGTTTACGTTAATCTTTGGGAGCTTAACTTTTTTAGCTAAAGAAGTGTTTTCGACAATGGTTTTTCACGGAAACTGCGGAAGAAGATTAAAGAGCAATTCAGTTTACGTAAGAAAAGATGCCAATGATATAATTTGCATAAACGAGAGGGGTGTAACCGAATGGAAATACCGTTTTTACCTATAACAGAAATTGTGCGAAGCTCTCCCGTGAATTGCGTACCGCCGTAAACTTTGGATGACACTAAACTGAGCACCTACGTGTATATTTATTATTAAACGGTTAATTTTTAATACTAGAAATAAATATAGCATGCATTGTCGATACTAATAATTTAAATAATAAGAAACGAATTAAATTCATACTATTTTAAGTTATTCTCAGTCGATTACTGATACGCCATTTAAATTACACCGTCTTTTGTTTTTAATTCTGACGCCTATCAGATTGTAAGCAGCGCTTACTAAGCGGAGTATTTATGGTTCGTTTCAGTATTCAGTGTTATTATACCAATCGATTCGTGCAGTATCTATTGCTGCAAAACTGCAGTTGAATGCCCGTGGGTTTGTTTGTGCCATTTTATTATACTCCTGGAATGCTTCTTGGAAGGAATGCGATGGGGACCAACGGACATTGAATTTGTTATTAGATAATATTTACTTTATCGCTTTGATGGGAGTGAATTCTCCATGTTGGGATTACTATAGTTTCACAAGAGGGCCTCCCAGTAGCAGAACAGTAAACTTTACAGTACTGCTATTATTTTATAACATACTGTCTAAAAAGAACTGTTCTTTTTAGACAGTATCTTTGTGTTCTTTACTTTACTACCCTGGTGTGAAACAAGCATACATCTGCTCAGATTCTCACTGACAACATATTAAATATATGTCACCGTTAGATTATATTTGATGCTCTTTTGTAATTTACCTAGGCAAAGTATAACAGGACTGAATTAATTAAAGTGACTGATGGTGTTATATTTCTTCGAAATGCAATAACAAACTGTAAAAGGGCTCTGTATGACATAAATAGGTAGCCATTAGATATCCAAATACTATATTATTAAAAAAATGTTGCATATTTTCTTGAATAGAGTTTCAAAAGGCATCGACGTTTAAAAATAGAACGATTTAAAGTTGCCGTGAGTAGGGAAATGTCGATGTAAGAAACGATATTGCAGTTTAGAGTTGTGTTCGCAATTTTCCATCTTAGACGATCTTATGAATGAAACTCGAAAGTCGTATTTTTAGTTATTACAAATGTATTTCTTTAAATAGAATTGCAAAATGACTACTATAACTACATTGTTAGAGTCACTTAAGTGCAAATAATTTTCGTTACTAAAATAATCGTAGAGTTTTCAGCATTAGCTTTTTAAAGAGGTTAGTTTTACGAGTGTTCCTAATGAACTGGGCAAGTAAGGACGTCTTTCTATACGTCTATAAATAAAATATTTACAAAGATGTCCACGAAGATTTAAAAACAAAATTAACATCTAGTTAGACATACTAGATTTATAGAACGCAATAACGTAAACAAAATGGCGGCTATAATTTTGACACATTGAAAATTAACCGCCCGTATATCTATGTTCCCTCCATACATGATGTGAATTTACATGTTAATTTTATAACATGAAATATGCAATTGTTTCAGATCGTTGAGTTGTCCGTTTTAACTTGAATATGGTAAGTATTTGCATATTAAAAGTTATGATTTAAGTACAAGATGGTACAAGTACTAAAGCGTGGGTTTCAATAGACTTGCTTCAACAAGATCGAAATTTTTTCATAGATATTGGTTTTCAACATACATCCATCTAAATTTTCGGATTTATAATACACCTAGCTGTTCTCCTGCGGCTTTGTCCGCATGAAACTATAAAAAGTTTATTTTATTGTTTACTTTTGTCAAATTCTCAATTGCAAATGTCAAAATTACCGTTACCCTTGCTCTCTTAATGTTGGCAGCTTGTAGTTTATGGTCACTAACGCACATGAAGTTTTTCTTCAATTTATATACCCTTAGTTTAATGGCGTGAAAATATATAGCCTAAAGTGTGCCGTTAGTGAAGGAGATTTTATTTAAGGAAGAATTATGCAAAAATATGCTGTGATTGCTGACATCTTACGCCACGAAGAAGTGTGTGTTTACGCTTTATTATATTAGTATAGGTATAGAGAAGATTGTTATTATGATAATTAATGGAACTTTTTAATGCAATAATTCATTATTCTTGTTAGAAATTCAAATTCTGCTCGGAGGGCGACTGCCCGTTATGGGCGCTGGCGGCGCTGCATGCACTTGGCGGGCTACCCGCACAACTCTTCAGGACCTTGCTGCATCATATTACTGAAGAACAACCGGTTTGTAGTTCACTATAACACTTTCATTTAGAAAACAAGCAGGCAGAAATAAATTCCGTTTCTCGCAATTCCGGTTCTCTCATTATCCTATGATATTACATTTTACTGAGGTATAATCGTTCTTTTCTATTCTATTCTGTCTATTTTTTTAAGTTTAAATATCAATTGTACAGTAACAATTCTCTAGCGTCCCCCTAACTGTCGAATCTCATGTCAACTGCATTTATAAATTCTCCCGCCAATACTGGCATATTACCATACAATGTCTTGAATTCCTGAACATTTAGAAACTGAATTTAAACCAATAAATATGAAGAATACGTTAAAAGAATTCGAAGTAAGATGTAGCAATTTGAAAATATTTTTACACTTTAATGTTCGATGTGCAATATCATACACGTAGAGTAACAAATTGAGTTTGACATCATTAGAATAATCATATTTTCCGATATTTGAGATGTTTAAAAAATATGTACATACATGAAATGTTTTATTGTTTTCAGAGAAATTGTTTACCAGCTTTTAATAAAATAAATATTAGTTCTATATTTTTAAAGCCGTAAACTAGTGAAAGGAAACAAATGACTGTCGAAACTTTGTAAACAAATTTCGATATTCATTTGTTATAAACTAAAAGATCTTTCCAAATGTATTTAATTAACTTCATTGAAATGTCATAGTCGATCAAAATTGTCTCCTTAAATAACCTAAAATTCATAAAGATGAAAAAACCTACAGACCTTTGTAAATATTCAGTCGACAAATAACATTTGGTCACCCACTCGGACACTCTCGCCTAACCTTAACATAATAACGTAATAAAGAATCATAAGGAAACCTCCGTTTGTTGATAGAACGGGATTCTATGATATTTTTAAAACATATATCTATTATGTTCTTGTATACAAAGAAATCTAGTCTTCAAATTAATACTATTGTGTTTGTAAATTAATAAATACTTTTTTATTATTTTTACA